AAAGTAATCAGAAGAAACGAACAAACGATTACAGTAGATAAAGCTGGAAAAACATGTAATGATCAACGAATGAGTCAAACCAGCTTTCATCGAAGCTGACGATCTGCCAGTAAATACAGATCCATCCAAACCACCGAATTACCGAAACTTGGGTTGCAATCATCTACGACATTGACGAAGATAAACAAGGAGAATCCAGCGACGACGAGATATGGTCGAGGAACTAGATGGCCTCAACGATATCTAGCTACGATTTAGAATTGATGATTTCTTTCATCACTTCGAATATGAATTATTTTCTCTTCGTTTCGTATATGCACATCGAAAAGTTTACCTCATTTATTATTAAATTTGACGTATTTTGTATTATTCCGACGTCTAAATGCATAAACTTCCAAAAATATCATCTTATTCTTTTAATTGATTATTATCTTATCAAGCCTCATGGACGTATGAGAACTCAAGCTCACACATATTTGTAATAACTAAAACCATAGTTATATCTTAGGTCTTAATTTCGTACATTTCGATACTTTCCATTCCGTTCAAGTCAATATTTTTTCTCACAAACACAGACACTGTTTTGTGTCTTCGTTTACTGAAGGAAAGTATTGTAGTACCTCACACACATTTGAGTTTTTTCAGATTTAATTTGGTTAAGCCCTTCTGATTAACTTATTTATGAGATACAGTCATTCTTATAGCAATGTCTTATCTGTACCATTATACTTTCATTACTGTTTAGCTTGTACTATTATTTCTTACTTACTTACGTATATATATTCATTCTACTGGCTTTCATGTTAGTCGCTTAAATAGTTCGATGACTCATTCATTTTCTTACATATATATGTACATTATAATCTTGTTCATTTGCTGACTCGCTCATTTGCTCTTTGGTTCTTCCATGTCAAGTTCGCTTCATGTACCAGTGGTTTTTTGATCTATGTGTTGTGCGATAATAAACGTAATCAACGCTTCGTATTCGTTTGGAATAAAAATTACCTTCAAAAAACAGTCGTTTGTTAACTGGTAGTTATTTTGCCGAAAAAGCTTTTGTAACCCTAGTGAGAAGCATCTAAACACTAACTCATTTTGTAATGGTTCAGAATATTTTCAGATCAGGTGGTTGCTTTTAGTATTCCCAAGTTCTCTGGGGTAGATGGTACATTTGAGGAGTTTTATCATTGTTATAAAAGTCAACATGAAAACTTACCCTATGTCAACTTATTCAAATAGATACTGATAATGACAATGAAAACTCAATAATTAAATAATTCCATTCCAAAAACTCACTAACCTTTGAAATACATCCATACTTCAACGATTAGGGTTATATGTTGGTCGATGCGTAACTTCGTGTTTCATATTATTCAGTAGTAATATGTAGATTCATTTGTTCACACCATTACGGATTCACAAACTAAGAAAATAAAGTTACTCACTGATTTATCAATTCATTTTTGAAATTGTTTTTAAAGTTCATACATGTTACGTTAACGTTACTTACGCCTGTTACACCTAATGGAGCATAGGCCGCCCACCAGTTTTCTCCAACCAACTCTGTCCTGGGCTTCCCTTTATATATATTATACTAATGATCATAGTAACATATCGTGCTTAAAGAATAGTTTCTTCTGGAAGAAACTTTAAATGCCCAGGTTTTATTATCAAAAAATGCCACTCGAACAAACAGTAGTCTCAAGCAATACTTTCATTATACTGTTGTAACTAGTATTAGTTTATTTACTCTATCATAAACATTTACATTACAATCTTCAGATTATTTTTATAATACTCACCTGTTAATAATAATAATTTAGAATAGATAGGCTGTAGCCAAAAATCGTCAGCCGGATATACCAGTATACCAGTGTTGAAGTCCACACTGGGATTGGCTTCATTTCAAACGCCTAGTACATAGTTGACTGAGCTACTGAGTAAAGATAGCCACTAATTTGTACAATGGGTGTTAATTGTTTTATTGTTGGTAATTAGGGCATGATCTTTCACAAATCTCTTAAAAATTCTTGTTTTATCAATCTGAGAAAAATTATACTTCTGACTCTGTCATCTGATAGACATCTTTTTCGTTTTTATTAGAAATGTCGAAGACACTTCTGTGGGCGTTCCAAACACAAAAGACATTGACCTTAAATTATTTGATATTCTAGAAGTCAAATGAAATCATAATATGAATTTGTGAAGTATATAACCGGAAATCTATTATGACCTCAGGTATATAAATGTGAATTTATTTTTTTAAATGATCATATTATGATCAATTGTGTAACTTTTTACTTTATTGTATTCACTTCGAAGAATTCTGTTTATTAATATTAATAAAATGTTTCAATTGCATCTACATACTCTTATGTTTTTTTGTTGAACAAACAGTTGTAAACACTTGATCAGTTAATGACTGAATTTATCCGACATAAGTAGTGAAACTAGTTGTAATTCAATGAACTGAACACTTTCTAAGACAATTTCCTGTGTCCCTTTTCATATCCGGCTACTTATGTATCATACACACATAAGGTAATGTAGGAAACCTATTCACAGATATAACAATACTCGGGAGATTTACACCACAACCTTGTCTGCATATGTATCAGAATAATAATAATAGGGGAAAACTGCAGACAATTGGGAATGAAAACTTGTAAATGGGTGTGAGAGTATTACTACTACTATAACCTTTTAACTAATCTACAATTTCTCTTATTGGTCACATCAAGTTTCTTATTATATTCCTTGCCTTTTTATATTTTATTGGTAACCTATTTTCGTTATGTTTTATTATAATGACGGTTATGTTAATTCCATGATTGGTGAGTTCATAAATACAAAGCCTATTTCAGTCACTGTATTTATATTTCTGGAGAGAACTTAAAGTAGCCAATCGGAAATCTATTGATCATTTTTAAAGGGAATAGTTAATTCATCCTTTTATTATATATCTAGTCTTGGTTTCGGACAATTCATAACCTTTTGTATGTATGTATGTACGTTTTACACACACACACATTTACTGACACTAATCAATGAATGTCCACCCCATTTTCGTATGATTAGAGAGAATAAAGAAGTCAAAAGTGAGTAAACAGACATAGTGTATTAAATATAATATTTGCTGAAGTTAATTAGTTTAATGGAATACATATCAAGTAACGATCAAGTAAACGTGGAAATCAGTTCCTGGTTAGTTGGTCATTTTTCTGTGATGAACGTATTATCAAATAGATATATTACGTTTTATTTTTAATTTTTAATTCTTCAATATACACTCAATGTTTAAACCAGTTAACAATTACACTTGAAATTGAAAATTACTCGAATGGCTTTGATACTAAATGACTTTAGCTTGAGTTCTACCTTTTTTGATGAATCCATTCAGTACTGTATATTACTGTTGGATGTTTTAAGATCAACGACAGTGTCTAGTATAGTATAGTATTTCGTGGGACAACCGAGTAAGCAATGCTGTCGTTAGGAAACGAGTACTAGGTAAGGATGGCAGATCAATAGATGAAGTGGTGAAACGTCATCAGTTGAGGTGGTTGGAACATGTGCTGCGTATGCCTAACCACCGACTGCCTCGACGAGCTATGTTTTGTGGTGTAGGAGTAGGTTGGAAGAAAGCTAGGGGCGGTCAGACCAAAACATGGCAGAAATCCATGAAGTCACTGACAAGTGGACTGAGTCATGTTGGTAGATGTAGACTACCTGGTTGGGGTCCGCGAGACGAAAGTCATCAATGGTTAGAGACCTTGAACGACATGGCTCAAAATCGTTTGCAATGGCGCAGGTGCATCCACTCTTTGAGCTCTCTCAAATCCTAATCTTCTGGATTAGCCAGCACCCCTACCTTTGTCTTTCTAACCTTATCTCACAGAATTATACTTCTTGAATAATATCTTCAAACCCTAGTCTTCTTCATTACCATTAATACCTCTACTATCTTTATCACTATGGGATTTGATTTGACATTTGTGTCTCTGTGCTAATGTGGTATGGCAACATGAACTTATGTACATACGTACGAAGTTCTACGTTGCAACTAGTATAGATATTTTAATGGTACTTTTACAACTGAACAATGTAAAACGATAACTCATTGGTACTTCCATTCAACCTTCGACCACAGTATGATAGATGTAAATATTGTTTTATTTTTTTTATTTAAGTGATCAGACTGTTTTATTTTATCGTATATAATCTGAGTATAGTGTTTATCTGTTCAATAGGTTTAACCTGTACACCGATTCATGATAGAATAATTATAATCTTTAGTAATATTTCAATGAGAAGAAATGTGTATTTCTGATATTTCCTAACTTAATCCAAGTGACTTCTTCAGAGTAAATAAATAAATAACTGAACTGATTGAATATAATTTATTTAATAGTAAATACGAAACGAAACAGAATATTTTCAGTACAATCAAAATCATGATACGCTTGAATATGTCAGTGTCATGTTACGTTTGATCTAGATGATTATTATATGTGAGAGACTTCAAAGTGTCGATTTGTACATATCAAAGTGGATAAGAAATATATCTAAATTAATTACTGTTGAAAGTAGTACATGATGTTATGACAATCTCTTTCTCATAAAATACTTATCTATAATCCGCAAATCTAATGAGAGAATGGTAGGTATCATGTCTGTTTGTAATTGTTCACTAAATTTTCATCGATAGTGTTATTTCCTTTTTCTTCAGAATTTTTATTAGTATCATTAACAAATAACTTTGATTAACGACAATGAATGACAGTAAACTGTTCTTGTAAATATAATATTACTATTCCATTTACTTAAGCAATCTATTTAACAAGTTTGACTAGAACATTCATAAGAAATTGTCTATGTTCTGAAAGCAAATAATTATATTGATACAAATTTAGTATTCTGTATTACAAAAATAAAGATCATTATTATTTATTTATCTATTTAGAAAAGATCTTTATCATCAAGAGAGGATTGTGTGACAAATGACAACTTCACTTGGAAATTTCTCAATTGATCGATTAATTGATCATTCACATTTGACAACAATTACTCATGCTAAATCAACTAGAAATATTGTTAGTCAAACGGAGTCGGACTTAAATTCAAAGCGATCAAACAATAATAATAATAATAATGATAAATTAAATTCTACAGCAATAGTAACGACAGCCATATGCAAAAATGAACACAATTTATTTCTATCAACTGGTATCTATACGAAAGAAATACAACAGTCAACGGCACTTGTTAATAAAATGCCGAAATCAACATTCAGTTCAGATAATAACAACGGCAATAATAATAACTGGAATACTACTGTGTGCAGCACAAATGGTTTCAGCAATATGAAGGCACAATCAAACTATTCAATGGATGATGACGTTATAAACAATCATCAAAAATTTTATAATTCTGTTCATTCAAATCTTGACAATTATCATCGGAATAATTTAAATGTCACGATGAAGGATACAGATCTCACTTCCAGGAGTTTTATTGTTGACAAAATAGAGATTAAAAATAATAATTATAGAATGAAAAAGAAAACCTTTGAACAGAATACTAATGTTGATGATCATAATGGTGAAAATGAAGCTGAAGAAGATTTAATGGAAGAAGAAGAACGTGATGAAGAAGATGATGGTGATGATGATGCGAAAAAATCGAATTCTGAGTTAAATACATCAGATAATACAACTACAAATAAAACATATACATGTCCAGAATGTGGTAAATTATTCACAGCTCATTATAATTTAACAAGGCATATGCCAATTCATACCGGTGCAAGACCTTTTATTTGTAAAGTAAGTAATGTGAATGAATATTTTTATACGTTTATTTTTACCAGAAATCAGATTGTTCTACTTATTTAAAGAGTTTATGAGAGACAATATGAAAATTTACTGTAGATTAGATTAGAGAGCAATTTCCTTTAACAAATTGTAATTAGATAGACGATCAGTGAACGAAACTGAAATACTGAATGAATTGTCTCTCTTCCTACTCGTTCAAGACTTCTTCACAGTATGCATAAATAACTTCATAATAGACTGATGTTATATATATATCTTTATTGATAGTCATTTTCAAATTCAAATTTCTAATTAGACACAATTCTAATCCGTTTTCTTCGAAAGATAACCGGGTCATTTTAGCTTCTAATAGAAAAACTACAAACCACGTAAATTTGCTGATAAAAATTACTTGAATGTGTAACAAGTTTTTGCAATGTCTGTTGTTAACTTCTTTCTTTGTAATTCAGATTAGATATTAGCTAAAATTTCAGATGATTGTAAATAGTTGGCAAAGAGCTATTTGACACTTGTCGGTAAAATGTACTCTTAATTCTAAAGGTATTTATATTCAATGTGGCGTCCGAACCCTTATCAGCTCAGCTTCATATTTTGTAATGTCACCATTAAAGGATTTAAGTTAAAACTTAATTCTTTTCATTGCATAAACATTACCGTAGTAGTGAAGGATCTAGTGAGAATAGCTCCATCTAATTCATGAGAACTTTAATTATTCGACTTGTTTACAAAACGAGCTTTCTTGCCTTTATCTACTTTGGATGAAGTCACTTCTGTTTATTGTATCAGTTATACTAAGATGCATTCATGTAATGGGAATTGTTATGTGTGACAAAGTAAAAGATATTATCGAATTTTACTATAAAATTTAAATTCGAATGAAAAGGCAGGTAAATTTTCTCCTTCATATGGAACGAACACAAAATATACTTTATTAAAGAGCAATGTCAACACTTATCATGGTATTGATTATTTATGAAATGGATTTTTGTCGACATTTAAATATAAAACAACGCATAACGTTAAAAATCCCATAAAAATCTAATTTGACGTGTAAGTGAAAATGAAAACTGAAATAAATGTAAAAATGTAATTTAAAAAAAGTATATTTAACATATATACATAGTGAACAAATGAAATTTCTATGATAGTACTCATATTCATTGAATAAGTTTTAAATCTAAATTCAAAGCACATTTTTTCATAAACTGATATCAATCGACTAAGTATAGATAGTCAAGACAGATTTGATTCTTCTTAATATTTTAGTAATCTAATTAAGTATTTAGATTTCTCTAAAAGCATGGTACTTTTAATGTATTCAGTAATCTACATATTCTCATTACAATTAAATCAGATTGAAGAGACCTTTACAAATGAATTAAATAACAATGAAATCTATTAATCTTCATTTATTTTTCTTACTATTTTAATACCTGAAAATGGATTATCAGTAAACACTCAATTTTAATAAACAAAACATTATAACATAGTTTTATGATTAGTTTATATGCAATTCAACAATAGCATATGTATGAAACTATGCTATAATAAATGACAAACTATTTAATTTCGTCAGTGAACTATTTGTAACTTTATTTTGGTTATCAATGATTAACCACGCTACATGTGCACAAAAAGTTTTCAGATGATCATATTACTGTTTTTTCTAAATAAAAGTCACTTATTTTCATCCTAAGATTGTGGGGGTTGTTGAGTTTTATTGAAATCATGCATCGATCAATGTTAGACTACCATAAGAAACCTAGAAGACAGTGTGGGCTCATCAGTAATGCGCATTCACAACCCCCGTACGCGGTAGTAAATCCAAGACCTTTGGTCTCGCGCAAGACCGTGAAAACCATTCATGGTATATTGTTAGATTTCTCGTTATTTAAATGCCTTTAGAATTGTTACACAGTATATATTTGAAGAATCGACTCATGTTCCCAGTGGATTAAACTGTTGATACTATCAGGTTATTCAAACCAAATTAGGATAAAAAATTACAAACTTGGGACTTACTAGTTATTTACTTTATCCATTTAGTTATTATTTACATGACGTTAATATTCTCAAATCTGTTAGACTATATCACTAGTTGAATTCGGAAATTAACTCATTTTCGATAAATAAGATATCTCCTTAAAGTCAGTTTACAATCGATATTAGATTTTATTAAATATTGTCCTGACATTCATCTACAAATCGTATTGAAAGATAACATGATTTCTAGAACCACAATATTAAACTCCTTTGGAAAAAAACTAGTTTTTCAAAGGTTTTCAGAATAAAGTTTATTTATCTTTTCGTTGAATACTGTGTTTTTTCCTCTGATATATTTGTAAATGACACAACTGTTCTTTGATTTAACTTCTAAGATATATTTGCTAATAAATTTTTGATTTTATTTATTTTAATAACAGGTTTGTAATAAAGGTTTTCGTCAAGCCAGTACATTATGTCGTCATAAAATTATTCATACATCAGAAAAGCCACATATATGTTGGATATGCGGTAAAGCATTCAATAGAAGTTCTACTTTAAACACCCATTCTAGAATACATCAAGGTTAGATATTATTTCAATTTTACATGATAAATAAGCTTTTCATCATGATGTAACGTATATAATATATAATGAGCAGAGATACTGAATGATGACAATTAGTAGTGAAAACTAGTTGGCTGTTCTGTAACATTATTGACTTTTGTACTGATCAAGTAAATTTTTATGAAAAAGAGAAATTCTAGTCTATTCAACTATGAAAGTAATTCCTGAGCATAATGTCAAGCGAACACAACTTTCAATAATGATTTTCGTTCGATCATCTCTAATCGTTGAAAACCGGTGCTATCTTCGTTTTTGTGATTAGACATCGAAACAAAGCATTTTAATAACTAAATAAATATGTGATGAACACGATTAATGGATAGTAACGCTTCTTCTTTTTGTCTTTCCCGCCCTCTAACTAGATAAAGAAATGTTTTGGTTATTGTTAATTGAGGAAATTGTCAAACCAAGTACTTGTTTTACTGAATTAATACAACTGAATATACAACCAAATGTGACTCAAATTAACGAGAAATGACATTGCAGTAACTGATGCAAATTAATGTTATATGGAGTACAAATTAAGGCCATTAATTCATGAGCCGAAGGAATAGAAATCATGTTGAATTGATGAGCCAATCAACTCAACATTATATTTAGACCAGTACGTAATCTTAAACTTAATTTCTTCCTAAGCACCTAATGAGGATCAAACGAAATAACATGAACTCATATTATTCTGCTCAAATCTCTGTTCTTGCTCTTTTCATTATAACAAAGGGAGCTATGTGTATATAACTTCTTCCTAAAAGTTGTATTTTGGAGATTCATCATACTCAAAACCATCTTGTTAGTATGTTGTGCACAAAACAGTAAACAAAGTTATTGTTAGTATTCAACGTCATCTAAAACTGTAGTTATATCAATGGTAAATGGAGATCAACTACATGATTGTTACAAATTTTGTTAAGTAAACAGTGTATTAGTATCAAATGGAATGTCTAAGACTACAAATTAATTAAACTTTCATATAATTTAAACTTTCAAACTGTATGATTAGTGAGGATTAAAATATTAGAGATAATTCCATAGTTCACTCATATTGTTTCATTGAGTCATAACAACAAATTCATTTGTATGTTTCGATTATATGAATAGCTGTTCAAAGTATTGAGATTGACTCTAAAAATTAAGGATTATAGGAAGCCTTGAAGTCAAGAATGGCCGTTGGTTAACACTAAAAAGAAATCCTGAATTGGTTAGAGATAGCTGTCTAACTTTTTTTTTATCGTACACGGATCCGTAAATGAAACTATGGTTGAATTTAATCGATCTCCGAAAACTAACCAAGTTAATAACATATTTAGTCAATATTTTACATCATATACTGACCTCTGTAAGATAACCACTGAAGAGCATTAGGTACTAAATAGTTTTATGCTAGTTTGGTACTTTTGAGCAGTGCGTTTCCTTATACATACCTGTGTTGAACTGAGTACCTCCAAATTTTGTGCTGAGTACCCAGTTTACAGACAAGCAAACTGACATCCAATGGGTTAGAATTTTAGTAAAGAATCAAATGTTTCCGACTTTCCAAGGGTTTTCTCAGGCCATTTCGTAATGTAAACCATAAAGTTCGATAATCTCGACTAACCCCTTACGATTAACATTAGATTTAATTATAGTTTTCAGTATAGGGTTGTGGAGATTGTTGAGTTCCATTGAAATCATGAACTGATCAATGTTAATTGGAGTTATCAACTAGAAATTTTTGTTATAATCTACTCTTAGAAAATTAAATATCTAGAAAAAACCATTTATCAGAACATATTTGTACTAATCAATTTACAAATGTCCACATTTAGGTGTCATAAAACATAAAATGGGATTTTATCCACTTTATACTTTTCTTAAACTCTCGTCGTTTACATTAGCGGTGCAGTGAGATAAAGGAATATGAGTAGAGTTAGTCGTTGAGATAAGAGAGATATTAGGGGGTGTAGGAAGGATTTGATTTTGATCAGTTCGGTCTCGCGCGCTGTTACGGGTATGAGGGCTGTTGTCACATTCCCGTTGCCCACACCGTGGAAGGTTGTTTCTTGAGGGATCTGAAAAAGACGGTAGATTAGTGTCGGTCTAAACGACCTGGGAGCATGACCGCACAGCCCAAGTGACAACTGCTTGAGGCCAATCATACACAGCCTTTTTATGCAAGGTTTTTTGAGTATTAGCTCCGCTCTTAAAAGCCTTAGTGGGCAGCACTTACCACTGGAGACGGAAATTCGTGAGGTAGGGTGACGTGTGACATTTTTAGAGTCAATCTTTTCTAACCCTTCTTTCTTTGTGATGCGGCGGCATCGCTTCAGATTCTGGTTGTCCGAGGGAAACACCTTACTGCTGTCACACCCCTTTACAATCGCCCTCAGACCTTGGGTAGCTGTTTTTATTCTCATCGTTCCCCAATCGACCTGCCTGGCATAGTAGAACATTCAGGAACATAAGTTCCAGCCAATATACCTCGGTTGGGTCATCATGATAGGGAAGTCCGACCATCGTGTCAAGGTAGCAGCTACGGTCCACTTTGTACATAACGAAGTAAGCAATATGTTTCTGAACAAATCACTTTGATTAACGAAAAAAGTTCGTCCTTCAACCTAACCAATCAGCTAACTTTGATATTTTATTTAAGAAGCAGTTACATTTGGTTGACGAGTCTGTCATAAATGAAACAAACTCTGCTACCTGAACTTCACTATTAGCCACTATCCATTTTACTAAAAAGTTTTATTTCCATATTGTTTAGAAATCAACTTTAAAAAGAAAAAACTTTAATTTTTTTCTCATTTTCATTTTTCCTATCTAGGTTATAAACCATTCACATGTGAAGTATGCGGTAAAGGATTTCATCAAAAAGGCAATTATAAAAATCATAAATTAACGCATAGCACAGAGAAACAATATAAATGTCATATTTGTCATAAAGCATTTCATCAAATTTACAATCTTAGCTTTCATATGCATACACATCAAGCAAAAAAACCATACATTTGTAATATATGCGATAAAGGATTTTGTCGTAATTTTGATTTAAAAAAACATATCAGAAAATTACATCCAACTAGTATTATAAATGATGGAGTAAATTGTAAACTTGGAGAAATGATTAAAATTAATGATTTGAAAATGAACACTAGTAATGATAATATAAATAACAAGTCAACCACTTTACCAATTACTACTTATGCTATGCATTATACTGATAATATCAAATTACAAAAATCAAAATATATTTATGAAAATGTCAATCATATTAATTGTAATATGACCTCCTCTATGGAGTTTGATCCAATGAAGCTGATCATCACTTCACCATCATCTTCATCATCATTGTCATCACCAGCAAAATTAACACTGACATCAACAAACCCAACATCGAATTCCATAATCAATGCTCAATCCGTGATAAAACGAAATAACGCGAACCACTTCAATCATCATAATATAAATAATAACCATACATTAGATAATATGAAAAAATCATTTCATTTAACTGACGTCAATTTCAATGTATCATCTATGACGTCTGCAAAAAATAGACTGAACTCATCAAATGGAATTGAACTAGATGCACATTCATTCAATGATACAATATATAAATCAACTTATTCTATCAATGATCAATCAACAATACCACAATATCAGTTAAATCCAGGAGAAAGTAATTTCGATCTATCAATGAAGTATTTGCAAAATTTCTACCCAGATATACAATTTAAACAATTCTTGGAAAAACTAGCACCAAAACATTCATCCCCAATTCTAATGAATAAATATTCCGATTGTACAGATTTTTCGCCTCAAACGATTCCATCATCATCATCATCATCCTCAACGCCATGCTGTCCATCGGAATGCCCTTTATATTTATCACCATTGTCTTCATCATCTTCAGTGGATTTATTACGAACGGAACCTAAAATGAAATTGAAGAAATTAGAACTACCGAATTATTCTAACATCAATAATTCAACTAATCTGCAGTCATTTAATGCTCACCAAACGACTAACTTCACTCTCCAGACACCACCTCTTATCTTTAATAATCGAAATCTACGGAATTGTCCACTTGATGTTGTACAACACAATATGGAGTTAAAAATTCAAAATTCTGAATCTAGTTTACCATTCAATTCGAATTTAACTCCTCAACCTTCATCTTTAGTGAATACAGAAATATTTCGAAAATTTATGCTTCAAGCATGTTTATCATTAAATCAACAACGCATGTAACTAACTATTCGCAAAATCAACTTTTATTTATTTATATTTTTAGAGCACATCAACACATTATTATTCATTGTTTGCACAGACCTATATTATCTTTACAGTTTATGATAAAGTTTAATGAAATTCAACTTTGTGATTTTAAATATTTCAATGATATCACTATTACCATCATATCGCTGCACGATCAAAAATTATTCCTGATAAATTTTTTTTCATAGTTTTCTTTTATTTATTTCATTTTATTTTCATGAAAGAATATATATATTTCAATTTTATAAATAAAAATGTTCTTTTCATGACAAAAATAAATAGTATTTCATTAATAAGTAGTCGTAGTAGTAGTATTAGTAGTAATTCACATTCCCTACTACGATCGGTTTTGTGCGTAAGTGAAGCAAATATAAATTACATTATAAGACTTAGTGGTATGTATAATGTAGTTGATCAAGTTGATTGATAACATAATATAAACAGAAAACTATACAAAACATTATATTAAATTAAGTGAACATTATAATCTGGTTTTAGTTAACATTGAAAGTGATGTACTATTGTGGTGCGCGCTACTTATAAGTAGTATATGACGCGAGTGAAAACATAATATCTGGCAGCAGAAGATGGGGGAAGATCAAGAAAGGAAGAGTGGGAACACAATGGAATTCGAATGAAACGCATGAATAAGGAAATGTCAGACAATGGATTGAAGATTTGCAAATTAATCTTTTACGATATGGTTTTCCTATTTTACCAATTAACTCTGTAATTTGTGATAAATACAAATCGGTTGCCCACACCTGTGTTTTCCTTCACTACACTATGTAGGAAAAATAAAGCATATCAAAGATCAGTGGAGATTATTGGAATAGGATAATTTAAAGAACTGCAACTTTCATAATGAGAAATTTTCAGGATCTCTGTCTACTGAATTGGCTCATACGATAAATGAATATGACTATTCATTGCATGTTCTTGTTTTCTACCGAATTGAAAAGTGTTGTAACTAATCCTAAGACATTTACCTTTAAATCTCTTTAGCAGTGTATTAGCATTCGTTATTTAATAACATCTTTCAGATAAAATAGTTGAGTAATTTCGTTTAAAAATCATCAGTGTGAATTTTTACTATTTTTATTATAAAGTTGTGGAGATTGTTGACTTTCATTGAAATCATGAATCGTTCAATGTTAGAACACCATTTGGAAACCAGGTTTCTAAACCTTGGAATAATGATAGATAACGATCATCAAGCTATCATTCGTACATGCTAACAAGTTAGCTTTGATATCCCACTTCTAACCGAATATCAATTCATTGGTTTGATAATTCTTAAGTATCGCACCAATGAGAAATATGTTTCTAACCTTTTTTTACTAATGTGCCTTCTGACCGATTCACTGGTGAATACGAATGTTGGTACTGCAAACAAGACAGAAAAACAATGAATGTTGCATTGTCTTTAAACTATTGAATCAGTTGATGGTGGTACTTTTCGTGGAAATAAAACAAGAGACAGAAGATCTAAGTAATAACACTAGTTTCTAAGGCCTTTTTAAAACAAAATGCCAAGTATGATGCAATGAAACAGTCTTGTTAGACACATTTTGATATAAGGATTACTCAAAGTTATCTGTCATTGCAAGTAGTATTTCATATTAATCGTTTTTATGAAAAGGGATCTAAATTTAAAATTATGGAAATGCTCTGGTACTAGCTGTCTTCTGATAACTGATTTACAAAACTTTATAATGAAAATTGTAATCAATGTCGGACTATGTTTATCATTATTACTATTGTGGCCATTTTTGAAATGTTTGTCAGAATCATTGATGCACTGGTCTACAGAAAATCATCTAGTTTTAATGCAATTAAAAACAAAGTTATTCTTATGAACGAGAGTGTTAAAAGCGATTCTAGTTGAAATTATGTAAGTAATAAGCTTTTACTGTCACTTCTTGATAATAAAAAAAAATAATTTTGGTAACTACTATTTTGTGAAGTCGTTTATAATCTCCAATAATTCAGGGAGAAAAGTCAGATGACAAATAGGAGAAGACGTGACCAGTGGAGTTCAACCCTATCGAGTGTAGGCAGTTACTACCAGAGGCAAATGGGTGAGGTCTAGCAAAATCTCTAGATCAATCAGAGCTAAACATTAAAGCCGTTGGATGCCGGCCCAGTGGTCCAGGGGTTAGGCATTCGCGCGCTAGATTGAAGGTCCCGGGTTCAGATTGTGTGAGGTTCAGGAGTCATGGATGCGCACTGCTGATGAGTCCCATACCAGGACTAAACAGCCGTCCACTGTTTCTAGGTTCCTAATAGTGGTCTAATATTGATTGATTGATGATTTCATTGTGTAAAAACAATAATCTCCATAACTCTAATTGAAAAATAAAAAAATAGGACGTTTTATTCATTGATTAAAGAATATTTTTTAGGTAAGTCATGATCACACAAAAATATATTTAAGACGTTCAAAAATTAAGGGTGTACAATTGGCTTGTTAATACATCCAATTAGCAACTCAAAGGAAAATTTTTCATCTGTGTAAATTAATCATCTATAATAGCATGAATAATGTTGGCTAAAAATGGTTAATTCAAAGTTGTTAGGAATAAGTATCTAAACGATAAGTGTCATTAACGGTTTTTAAGGAACTGTCCATCCATAAAAATCACATTAGATTTTTTAGTCACCAAACTTAAAATCATGCATTTACTGAAGCTGAAAAAGTATACTAATCGATTCCAGCTTGATAGTCTAAAAGTTGCGATCATGCTACAAGAACTGATTTGTGTCATTGACCAATGAGCAGTTACACTCCAAGATAAAACAGAAATTTAAATATTTCTTATTTATGATAATCTTTTGCTTAATCCATAAAAAATAGGTATACCTGAAACTAAAATTTGGCAAAACAGACATTTTTATGTAAAACGTAAAGAGCGTGGACTATAATTAGTTGGCCTTTGTAAAGAACAATCAAATGATATGTGACAGAAAATCGTTATTAATTTTAAAATAAATAACTGTGATATCTTAATTTAGGGATTTGCGAATAATTTCAAACTCGTCACAGGCTGATAGGCTTTGATAATTACTAGAAACAAGAAGCATCTAATAGTCATTTTGTTTTAATTTGAATCTCTTCAGTAATGCATATCCATAACCTTGTCAAAGGTAGAATTCAAATCTTATTGTTGTGAGTACAATTCTCTTGAGCCATGAAATTAAAAATCCGTTTATCCATATTTCCAACTTCCGTCGATTCCCCACACAATGTAACCGCCATTTGACGCCATCTATGAAGTTTCATTCTGCTGTAAAGGTTAATTAATTAATTGGTTGATTAATCAGTTAACAAACGGTCAGTTCAGTTATTTCTATATTAAGAATTATAGTGTTATGAGTATGATTATCAGCGATGAACCAACTTGATGAATGAAAGAATGAATACACGCAAACCCGCATTCAACAAAATCAATAAAATAAACTATATGGAATGAGGCGAAACACTACAGTTTTATCTAAGTAGCCAACATGTTAAACGTGTGGATCTATCACCTTAAAAAAAAAAGAATTTAAATTTAATAAAAGTTAATACACTAAACTTTAAACAGAATCCCAAATTGTTAATATTATTATGATTATTATCCAAAGTAAATTAATAATTATTAGTGATCGTATTTCTTGAGAAAAGAAACTCATTATCTATTGAATGTTTGTTTTTTTCATCATCATTGTGTATGAGGTTTTTTGGTCGACAAGTAAACTTTTAATAAACTGAATAAATTGTTCAAACTACTTGACCATCAATAAAAATTAACCCATATACTTCAAAAAAATGGATTGTATTTATTTTTCACTCAAATCACAAAGTGTCAATTCGACTTTAACATGCATGCATGCATGCATGCATACATAGATTTAAAACTGATGAAAAATAAACATGCACTCATACACTTGCACGCACATACTTATGTTTATAAATTGACCATAAAAATAAAATAATAAAATAATCTACTTACTGAGTGGTTACTGTAAAACCTTTTTTAAAATCTAATCATAAAGTCATCGTTTTAAACAGACTTTTTTCTTTTTTTTTAAATTTTATATACATTTCAAGTACTACTCTTTATAAATCGTTCATGCATACTTTCGCATTGGTGTTACTGATAATGGTGTTATCGTTGTTGTTGTTAGCCTAATTACCCAAGATTTTGTCCCCATCTCTCTTGTGTCCACTATCTATCTATATGTACTGTTCTTTGGATTCAATCGTTTTGCTTTTTATTCGCAAAAATAGGAATATTATTGTTAGCTTGATAGATTCAGACACATAAATATTTTGTGCTCAAATGTAAACTGTTCGAGGTCAACAAAAAAGGAAAAAAAATAAATAAAAAGAGGAATAGTAGTGATATGTAAACAATAACAAAAATTAGGAATATACATTTATTTTCAGGTAGAGTTTTGGAGGTTTGTGTTTTTACACGTTTGAAATCATCAACCGATCAATCATTGTTAGACCGCCATTAGAAACCTGGAAGCACTGGACGGCCGTTTCGTCCTGCTTTGGGACTCTTCAGCAGTGCGCATCCACGACCCCTGCACCTCGCAGGATTCGAACCCGGGGCGTTCGATATTATGCACGAACGTCTAACCATCGGACCACTGTACCGGCATCCAATGGTGTTAATGTCTAACTCTGATTGATCTACGGATTTTGTGCAACCTCACCCATTTGTCTTCGATAGTTACTGCCTACACCCGACGGGGATTGAAATCCATTAGTCACATCTTCTCAAATGGAACTCCGAGAATTTCCTCACGAAGCTAGTCATTAGTGAGCACTTTTACGATATTTTCAGGCAGAGTTTCGGAGGTTTGTGTTTTTACACATTTGAATTCATACATTTATATCGAATGATAGAATTAACAATTTTCAGTTGAGAATCGCCAACTACGTACTTACCGACCTTCTTTTTAAGCATTTATGTAAATAT